CCAGCAAAAACCCTAACAAAAGCAAAAAATAATAATAAACATTTACCTATACTACATATCTTGTGAAAGCAAAAACTCACAATAACACGATCAAATATATTACAGTCGTACAATTCTATATTAAATAAATACATCTATATAATATTATTAAAAGCAAATGCCTGAATATAATCATAATTGCATGTTATATAATTTTATACTCTAAATACCTTATTCGATATACAAACTATTAATCGATTCAATATGTAAAAAAAAAAATAATTCAAACTTCTTGATGATTTGACAATATATTCGCAACTTAATTATTCTTACTTTTCGATGCAATTATATAAAAAGCTCCCTTAGCATTATATCCTTTAATCTTGTTAAATTCTATCTACATCAAAAATGTATTCTAAAATCTCAGTTTTGACCCTGTCGTAAATTATTACAGTCGTATTTTCTATGTATCAGGGGAATTAGCAATCTGGGCGTTAGGGTGGAAAAATCAATAAAAGATTTTCTGTGTATCAGGTAATTATGTATTAGGATGGGGATCTACCGATACTATAAAAAATCAAAAACATCATTCAAATACAAATGATATAATAATTCACAAGAACAATCAAACTTTATAAACATAATTTATCCTTGTGAATACAGGAATAATATATCTATTAATCATTTTTGTTCTTAAAGATTAGTTATTAATTACAAAATTTTGTAGATAGAAATGCACCATCTGTTATTTATACCTAATAACCTACTTCTAGTCTTGTCAATTTAAATTCATTATTCTAGATCTCCATTTTATTCAAAAAAATCTTATTTGTTATTAACTATTGCTACTTTATTATTACAAATTTAAACAATAATGAGGAACATTTACTCTAAAATCATTTTTTATCATTTATTTTTACTTCACAAAAATATTTAATAACTTATGCTCAAGAAGACACATTGGTGAGATTGTGGAACGTACCAGATGAACAAATAGAACATTTCATAGGAATTGAGACCCAATTAACAAGGGCGGATGAGGCTGTAAAAATAGTCATATTTAATGAAGAAAATGAAGAATTAATTGATGCTTTTGCGGGAACTTACATAAGGGTAGCGAGTTATAATGTAGCCGTTTACACGGTAAACTTTGGTCAAGTTCTAAATGTATTAAATGACTCTGAGATAGTTCCGATTGCAACTTTATTAGCATTTGAACCAGCTTTAAATAACCTTTCCTACCTGCTTTATAAGCCAGACATTATGATTTAGAAGTAATTGCTTTGGAACATAATCCAATGTTTGTTACTATTTTCATTGATGTAACGATTAACAATTACGTTATAGTTCTGTTTCATGGATATGAAAATCAGAATAGAGAATTTATACAAGCTATAAAAGACCCGGACTATTTAACCCCTTCCACATTTTGAACGTAAGAATTTACATAATAATGGTGATAATGGTGATAATGGTGATAATGGCGATAATGGTAATAATGGACGACATCATTTGAGTGCTATAAAACGCCAACATTTTAATTTAATAGCAATCCCTATATTAGCTGGTGATGGTTTTACTAACCTAGCTGAAGATGTGACGTGTTCATTGGGTTTTTGAGCAAAAAGGGAACGAACTCAGGAGGATGTTTTTGTATCTTCAGGACGCTGT